GGAGGGGGAGGTAGAGCATGCAAAGTTAGACGACTGTTCATATAACTTATTTACACTTACAAGTTTTAAACGATCAATTGTTATATATCCTGTGTTTAGTCGTTACACTTTTTTCTCTTCTTGAAATGCTGGGAAACTAAGGAAAACGTTTCTAATTTATAAAGTGGTATTCGATTTTCACATACCTTATAAAAGAACTCTCCACAAAGTGCTGACAGAAAAAGATTCCAAGCGGAGTGGAATTACCGAGCTCCAAGATTTTTCTTTCGATCGCGTAACTGTCTAGATCAAATTTTTTCATTTCTTTGACGGCATAATCCATTTTGGTGTCATTTTGCCGATACAAGCTAACCTAAATAACAAGAGTAAAATGAATGCGTTACTGTATTGCCATGATCTGCCTTTGAGGTGTTTTATATAACACCAACCCACACATACAATACTAGTTCTCTGAAATGTCTAATTTTCTCATAAAGCTCGCTAGAAATTAGATTAGAACTGTCAGAAACAAGGCTTCTCCAAGGACTCTACGAGCAAACACAACAAATTTTAAATTTTGTGGACTAGAGAATGGCTAAAGATTGGAATTCCTGAACGATAGTTATCCTTAATTTTAAATTTTCCTACTTTTCCGAAAGCTCCTTCTCCAAGGACTTTAACCTCGGTGCAGTTGGATAAATTGTTGAGCCACTGAGCATGCACTTCCTTTCGACGAACTTTATTTTCCTCACAGTACTGGTGTTGTTCTGTGTTCTTTCGTTTTCTTGTTCTTGTCTGAACAAAAGAAGCACAAGAGAAAAATATACCTCAACCTTTTACCTTTAATTTAGTGTACTAACAACTTAACGACTTTAAAATTTTTACGCTTAATTCACACTGGTATTTTCGTGTGAGTGGCATCCTATGCATTCAAGTATATAAACCGCTGTGTTCTACTAACACGTTTTTCTTACTCAATCTCTTACCTTCTTGTTAACTGATACCTCCTCTCCCTTCACTGTATTGTCGCTGAAAACCAAAAAAAAGTTATTGGTGTGTTATGATTGGGTTAACCTTAGAAAGAAAAACAGTTTATCTTCGCGAGAAGACTGGAAAATTCTCTGGATATGCTGTTACAAGTATACTATTTCGCCAGCAACTCTAGTCGTTGCGAACTGATCGAGCGATCGAAATCGCAGTTCTAATAGTGATTTCAAATTATGATTGCTGAATCGAAATCTCGTTTCTCATAACAATTTATAATAATAGTTCCTGAATCGAAATCGTATTCTGATATCGCATAGTCCTTCGCGATAATCGCTACGTTTTTTGCTGCGGACCCTCTTTGCTGGCTCCGACGAGTGAAACCACGAGTCGCTACTTGAACTTATAGGACAGGGGTAGGACAGGGGTGTTCGTGTTCTTTCTGAGCTGAGTTTTTTTATGCCGGCATACAGGGTAGCTTTTCGTCTGGCTTCTCCTAAAAGGTGGGTCACAAACGCTTCGTATAAACTTCGAAAAATTCCGTACGTTTCAAAGCAAACTCTTTATCAAACACAAACCCCAGCACTACCCTCCGTTTTACACTTGCACCCAGTCGCACGGGGCTTCAGGATGACGTAAGCTAACTTCTTCGACCAATGGGATTTTGGGATATCACACATGACAAAATTCTTTGATTGCGTAAATATTATGAACTTCTCTGCGTTAAGAATTTATTCCAACAACGGGGTTAAAGTTTGAAACGATATGTCGGAGTCAGCGCTGCGTGCTATCTAACTTGTCTGGTAACTAAGCCGTGTTGATATTAATTTACTTATGATTCCGAGTAAATGGCTAAACGCGAATAAATGTTTCGCGCGCCGCGCGCGATCCTTTTGTTTACACTGTCGCCATGGACACGGTGCACCGATAGGACGAATCGATAAAACGCGTTTTCTTTCTGCTCATAACGGCTGATTTCATTATACTTTGAAAACGCCGTTCTAAATATTGCTAAAAAAAATCTTGAAAGTTCCTCTTTCTCGTGATCATATTAGCGAAAAGCGAAAGTCGTAGAACATTTTACAATAAGCCGCCGCCATTGGAGAAAGTAGTCCACGGACTTGAAATATTTTTTTTCTCTCATTCGACATTAGAAAAGTATTATGTTTGTTCTTTAGCCTTACCTTTCATCGCAACGATTCTTAGTAAAACGTCCAATGACATTGCTAACAGCAATAAACGCTAACCAGCAAGTTACAAAAACCATTTTCAATGTTGACAGCCGAAACTCCAGCCACAACTGAAAACCTGAATTTGTTCTGAAGACTGAAGTGTGTGTGTCATAATAAAGGTTGCGCTCGTGCGCGCGCGATAGAATGTGGTGTTACTAGTTTGATTCAGGAGACCAGTTTATAGAAAAGGACAGAAGAGGGTGGAAACGATAGCGGGAGGAGCTGAGGACTCATAGATCCCGCTGTCCATTTGACATGAAAGTCTTGCACGCTTTCCTCGTCAACCCTTATGAACCTGCATTGTAAATGTTCAGTTAGTGAGATTGGTACATGCTTGCAAATGATCACAGGACTAGAAATGATTAGCGCAAACGATACTAGAAGAAAGAAGCAATGGCTTGGATTCCAATAAAGTCTACGGATGTATAATTTTTTTAAGAGGTGAATGCGCCACTTTGCGGACGGCTGGGCATAAGCTTACGAATATACCTTGCGTTGTTCTTATGCTTATGTTTCTGTTATGTCTAGAAACCTTGCGTTTTTCTTATGCTTATGCTTATGTTGCTGTTATGTCCAGAGGAGGGACATGGTTGGCATACTAGTAAGCGTAAGCATAAACATAAGCGGAAGACTTTCAGCCAATCAGCGTGCACTTTATGCTCATGCTAACCATGTCCTCACTGAACATAACTGCGACAGAAACAAAAGCATAAGCAGAAGGCCTGCGCCGATGCTTATGTCGCGGCCGTCCTCACTAGCGCATAAGCTTCTTGTGTTGATGCTGATGCTTATGCTTGCGTCGGAAGTGAGTACCGGGCTTTTTAGCGAACCAAAAGGAGCATTAATCTCACAAATATTATCATTACCGCCAGCCATCAGAGGCAACAACGGTATTATCTTACCGTGATGGTCGAATTCTGATGACGGATATTCCACTTCTCCTGCCTAAAATATTGAAAATCGACTACTGCCTTTCCTCTCATCCGGATTTTACCGGCCGCACATCGTCATTCGCCATTTTCCATCTTCATTTTTCCTTCCACATTTTGTCATCCGCCATCCGCCACCCGCTACCCACTACCCGCCACCCGCTACCCGCCACCCGCCGCCATCCGCCATCTGGTCCTCGTTTCACAGAGATAACAGACCGGGTTACCGTTTTGACATCGCATCACCAACCTTGCAGATGGGTGAGAGCCTGGGAATGAGGTGAACCGGGCGGCGAATCAAAGGGTTTTCTTATATTCAAACATTCTCATTCGCATACACGTAACGTGCTTCGGTACACAACAATATCTATTATTTCGCGATTTCATTACAAATGTAAAATTTTTATTTGTTATTTCTGTGCAAGATCTGAAAAGCAATATTGAAACTAAACCGCCTCATCCCTTCCCTCCCTGCTAACAAAATACGCCCCGGGAATTCTGACCAATCAGCGAAGAGCTTGTGGTAAACGTTCGAAATTCAAATGTGTCGCATGGACGCTAAGCAGAAAGCCGATCAATGGAAATCAACAACACTACAAAATAATTTGGAATTCGCATTTCAGCTAGAACACAGACAAAATGGTCCAAACCTCAGAAAACTGCCCTTCGAGAAAACGTTCTTCATCGTCGAGACGATCGCAAGTTAATGGAGATAAAAACAGCAATATGAAAGTTGTTGTGCGAGTCAGACCTGCAAACAACATGGAAATCGCCAAACAATCGTCGACTTCTGTTCGTGTTATGGACGAACGTATGCTGGTCTTTGATCCAAAAGACGACTCCATTGATTATTTGTCAAGCAATCGGGGTAGCAAACAACCGCACTTTCTTAAACGAAGAGCGAGAGACTTAAGATTCATGTTTGATCGAGTGTTCGATCACGAGTCCAGCAATCGTGATGTGTTCGAGCACACGACCAAGACCATCGTGGAAGGAGTTCTTGGTGGATATAATTGTACTGTGTTTGCTTACGGAGCGACCGGGGCAGGGAAGACGTTTACAATGCTAGGAGATCAATCAAACCCTGGAGTAATGTTTTTAACGATGATGGAATTGTACAGCAGAATTAATGCCTGTAAAGACGAGAAGACCTCAGATGTGGCTGTGTCGTACCTTGAGGTAAGATCCTGCTAGAAGCCTAAGCGGTGATTTGTTCGGCAGGAATTCAGTGAAGCTTGCACGCAGTTTAAATCAATTTTCTTTCTTGATCCTAAACTATACGACATAGATCGTCATTTGTTACCCTCCAATTAAAGGATACCCGTGCAGTTGCAGGCTCTTGCCCTGCAGGAAATCTCGTAGATGGAAATCTAATTAACAGTTTTTACTTCAGATATTTCCTGTCGCAATTTTTAACTTTGTTATAGGCTGCTCAGATTTTATCACTGATATTGACTGATTCTCTTTTTACACTTTCACTTATGATCATGCGATCGCCTGCATTGTTATATTATGTGAAATTCGATTTTGGTCACTTGCTTACAGTACACAACGGTACAGTCAACCTCTACGTCCTATTTATAACAGAATACGTGTAAAGTTAGGAGACATGTCCGCTTATTGGAAGTAAAAGAATGTGGCTATGGCTGCGATTGATTGAGTGCATGCTGGCATTGTCGTAAGCAAGGTATCCCATAGTAATGGTACAATACCTAACCAGTAATGGTCACACTTCATTATTTCAAGGACAGCCTGTCTTCACATTTCTTGGGGTGGGTAACGAGGCTGCCAAGAAGCTAGCTATATTCCAGGAAAAAGTAATCTAACACATTTAATCCTTTTATGCGCAGGTTTATAATGAAACAATTCGTGATCTCCTGATGCCTGGCCAGCCTCTTGCTGTCCGGGAAGATCCACACAGAGGAGTGTGTGTCAGTGGTCTCACTCTACACAAGGTACTGTCTAGAAAATTTCCCAAGCATAAATAAATTAAAAAAAAGTGAAAAGTGTCCTTTGAGTTGGCACTTCTTGTAAGCATGCTGATTTTCTTTACTTTACGACAGCCAACTTCTGCAGAAGAGCTGCTGGGAATGCTGGAGTTTGGTAACAACAATCGCACTCAACATCCCACTGATGCAAATGCTCAGTCGTCAAGATCTCATGCTGTTTTCCAGGTAAATAAATCAATATTCAGGGTTTGTCATAACTTTTTAGTAGAGTATAAATACTAGTTATGCAATGCTTTTGAGTGGTGTGTATACAATGGAATATCACACTTAAGGCAAGTGTGTATACCAAGAAAATACGAGTGACTTGTGGGATATTCCATGGTATGCCACAAGAGAGTGTTGCATAACTATTTTATACCATAACACAGAAAATACAGTGGCCAATGCAAACAATATGACGTATTGGCAGCACAAGATAGACTGACTGGCTGAATTATTGCTTTTATTACCAGGTGTTTGTTCGACAAAAGGACAGGACAGCAGGATTACAAGCAAACTTCACAATGGGAAAAATGTCTCTGATTGACTTGGCAGGATCAGAGCGTGCTATAGTAACATCCAACAGAGGTGCACGATTCAGAGAGGGAGCTAACATCAACAAATCCTTACTAGCTCTTGGAAACTGCATTAATGCACTTGCTGACAAAGAGGTAAACTGAATAAGGCTTGAGATAATAAGGGATGAGTCAGGAATTAGATTCCGCTAACCTGGTGAAAGGCTTGATTATATTTAGATTATGAGCAGTCCCTTTTCTTTCTAGTCTGTTGAACATGATGCAAAACAAAGAAAAGTTTCTTCACCCTCACATGGCTATTTATCTTCTTGACTTGTGCTTTGTTTTGCACCACACTCTATAGACTAAGAAAAATGAGAGCATGCTTCATAGTCTAACCTATATTCTGGGGTTTGTTAATATTTGACAGACACTGTTAAGATAAGAAATTTTTCCTTTTAATTAATTGATGTCTTTATGTATTTTGTTGTTCACATTGTAAGGATTTGCTGCAAACCATTTTCTGGTGATGAACAGCCTCATTATTCATATGACCTGTCTTCTTGATTCAATCTATAATAATTATTGCAGAAAAGAAGAAGAAAAATTGTTACGAATAAACTACATGTAAGGAGGGGGGGTGAATAGGTTTTCAGATCGACAGATTTGGCTTTAAAACGCGCACGGATTGTGGATTTTTGTGGTAAATCAAGCGGATTAGTGGATTTTGAAAACACAGTGGATCATGGATCACCTGTGAATTTTGGCACGGATTCCGAATTGTGCCTGTCTTGATGTTCGGATCTAGGGTCCTAAACAAAATTTGGATCATAGATCTTTCTTCAGCCTTGACAAAATTATTTCTTTTTTTGAACGAAGCTCATTTAAACTCAGGTGTGAGACTGTTAGTGGAATTCTACTGTGTTATAGTCATCAAGTCTGTTGCCTTCTTTACTATTTGTGCAACATTAACAATGGCATTCACATTTACCAGTCAACCTTTGAACTTTTACACTTCTGTTTCCGGATGCGGTTGTGGTTTCAGATTTGAACAAAAATATTGGTAGATTGACGAATTTGGCAAAAAAAGGACATGGATCGGTAGATTTGCATACCCTTATTTGCCCCCCCCCCTCCCCCTGTAAGGCTTGCTTGTCCTTGCAGACTTAGGGACTGTTGCCTTAGTTAGCAAGATAACTGGGCAAAAATGCCACCTATTTATTCATAATTTGACATTCCATAGAACAAAACAGGGCATATTCCATACAGAGACAGCAAACTAACAAGACTCCTGAAAGATTCCCTTGGAGGAAACTGCAGAACTGTCATGATAGCTGCAGTAAGGTAAGTTTTTACACTGACACAATACTCCCACTTACAGCAATGCTACAGAAACCACAAAATGTATGCCAAAATGCTCAAAAAACTTAGTCTATGTTTTCAGATCAAACTAAGATAAATTATTGCATGTTCTGGCATTATTTTTAGCCCATCAGGTCTGAGTTATGAAGACACCTATAACACTTTGAAGTATGCAGATCGAGCCATGAACATCACATGCAAGGTTGTTAAAAATGAACTGTCTGTGGACATGCATGTCAGCCGCTATGCTAAGATTGTAGAAGAGCTACGACTAGAGGTAATGCATGAGTTAACAGTAGTCCTTGTCTTATGAAAACTCATTTGATTTAATTTTTGTGAGACAGACTTCCCATTCAACACTTGGGTCTAACTACTAGTTCAAACCAGATAACCAAAATTGCTGGTTTCCATCTCTTCATTAGTGCTGATCTGAATTGTGTTTGCTCTTTGGAATTGAGAATTTCGATTCTTTGTGCTGACTTTGAAGCTAACAATATTTAATCCATAAGAAGAGGAGTTTGGGCTAATCAGAACACATATGTACACGTTTGTTAAGAATTTTCTAAAACTAAAACAACTAGCTAGCTTGCAAATAAGATAAATACAGTAGGATGCTGGAAAGGTTTTTCTTAGACTTAAACCAAGCCGACCTTTTCTTAATCCTTGACTTATTTACCTCCCTCAAGCAAATTCAAGCAACAAAGTTGAAAGGGCAAGCGAAACCAACAGGCCAGGGAAGAATTATTGGAAAGGACTTTTAGAAAGTCTAGTGGGTTTTTCTGTGTTGTCTGTTTCTCAACCAACAGAGCAAACAATGCTGCATCAAGACAATCACAAAAGTACCCATCCAACAAATATCTTGTTGGTAACTGTACATCATCAATTTGTCAATATTTCTCAGATCTCAGAGCTTAAAAAGAAACTTTTTGGATATGAAACTGGGCCAACAATGCCAAGGAAGTCTGCTGATTCTGGTGCACAAACAGAAGAGATAGAAAGGTAAATGTTACATAAATTAAGAATTAAGTAAATTACA